GTTTTGCGAAATTCATAATACGTCGGTACTCTTGTGGAGTGAATAGCTTAGCGTGATGATCACATGGCACGAACGGCATGAAATTATGCCCTATATTCACTTCATTCGGTGCATGGTGAAATTCACCGAGGTGATTTGGATTGTTTGCTGCATTTTGTTGGTGATGTTGCATAAAGGGGGTTACTGGCAATCCGGGATACAGTTGCACTTCTTCATGTGTCATCGAATGAGCCGGGATTGGCTGCGATCCGGACGGCATTTCCAATGTGGGTAGACCCAGTGCTGGCGACGTCAAATCCATAAGGTTATTTTCCGCCCGTGCTGGTGGTTGCGGGGCCGCTAAAGGAGCGTTGCTATTGTTATGTTCCCATGGCCGGCGGAAATTCGGTGCTGGTGCCTCTTGATTATTTTGCATTTTGTTTTGAAAATTCTTAATAAATCGCGTGATTTTGTCCGTCTCACAAATGAATATCACTCTATTTAGTGCTTCTATTTTGCTTGGTGCCGTAAAAGTTTGAGTTTATTTTTCCTTCGTTTTAAGTAGATAAATATTTGCAATTTGTAGTCTTGATACTGAATGATTTTCGAGTGCTTCAGCGACGGCTTTTATAGCGTAAGGTCCTTTGCATCAGTCTCTTCGAGATCGTTTCAGTCATATTCGGATTAAGTAATGCCAGGTAGAGAAGTTTCTATTTTGAATTATGATCTATGTAAATATAAGTATGTAGGTATATAAATAGAAAAAACCTTGTAAAGGAATACGTGTGAGACCATAAAGGACCTAAATTAAGGCTAAACACAGAATGAAATGAGCCCAAACTACTTCGGTTATAATAAAAACAAAAATCCAGATATATTCAAGGTTACAAAAGAAGCCCATAATTATATTACCTTAAATGTTTGAAGATTATTTAGCAATGTTTTGCATTGACCTTTTTTTATAAAACAAAACATTTTAATTATTTCTTAGAATTCTGCCATTTAATTATTTTTTTGTTTTAGAATTAAAATTTACAGTAATCATTGTAAATGTCTGAGTTCTTAAACTCCATTAGTTTTCATCAGTCAGCCTTCATTATAATTGCGGTTATGACCATTTTCGGTTTCGCCCCTTTTTACGCAAAAAAAAGGGCTGTGAGAGAGTGTTGTCGCCTTCAAAATATAAATTAAGTAGGCTTAGCAGTGGTTAGTAAAATATTATTTTGTATGAAATAGTTTTGAGGGTTGGCAGAAATTTTTTCGTAACTTTTAAACAAAGGACGATCATTAAAAAAATTATCGCAGTAACCTTGGACAATCTTTCTTACTTTTCCTACGCTAGTATTATTTTGTTCATTTATATATATATACATATATATATATATACATATATATATATATACATATATATATATATTTGTTAAATTTGTTAAATTTTAATACTTGACCCTATGTCAGGAAAATTACGCAGGATGTCCTTTGTTTAAATTTATTTTTAAAATAAAATAAATATATATATATGACGTTGGGTCTGTGGTCGTGTTACAGCATACGTGAACGTTAAACGTCATACAAATATGTGTTTTAGAATAACGTACCTTACGTCACGTAATTTGGTAGTATAAAGGCCGTGAATAGACAATGGAACGTATACTTAGTTCGAACTATCATCCGTTCACTAAGTCGTGCTCGAGTGTTTGTTTTTAAGAACTTTATTTTAGTAAAGTTACGCTGATGCTTTGATATGTGAGACTCATATTCTGTTCCTAAGATTGACGTATCACGTAATTTTCTTTCGTACGTTTACCGACACTATCACGGATGTTGTAATGCCAACCCAGATGTTAGACCTTCATTAAATTAATTCAAATAATTTGGAATACTTCAAAAAATTATCGAAAGCGATATTCTATTCGACTGAAAATTGGGTGCACAATGAAAATTTCGACAGAGTTGTATAGCCCATAAAACAAGATTTTAATTCAAATTTCGTTGTAGAACAATATCCGATAAATAAGACTCTTAGAGGTATTCACACCTAACGTCCTAAAAATGGTAGAAAACTTATAGTTGATTATATCGAGCTGAAAGAAATACTTGGTCTTGGTCCACTGGTCCAAGCAATTTTGGAGTTGAAAGGAGATACATATAACATATGGGAGATGAGATATGAGCTCGTCAGCTAGTAATTGTATTAAAAATGTTTTTAAAAATTTTGAAATGTTGGAGAATATTATTTATCGATTAAAATTAAGCTATGGCTTTGAGAAGCCGGTAAAAGTATTACAAGGTTCCTAAGCAAACACTACGACGCTTGGCGAACTGTAAGCATAGTCTGCCGCCACCCGCAGTAGATAAAGCAGTGCCCTTGTACCCAAAGAACTATCACTTCAATTTCGTTGTTTCTAAAAGTATTAGAGGGCCTTTTAGATGTTCACATCAAGCAAACTGTGGATGAGGGTCTACTCTCAAAAGCAGTGCACGTCAACACAAAGGATAAAACGATAGACACAACGTGTGTTAATGACGTGACGAAGGAAGAATCGGTTATTGAAAATGAAGAATATGCTGCGGACATCTTCCTAGACATATCTGGAGAGTTCAAAAACGTTTTAAAGCCTTCATTAATGGAAGAGTTGGAATCAATAGGAGTCAACTCTGTCCTTAAGAAGATACATCCAGTCTTGGTATATATTAGGGAGATCCTAGGCTAATGGTCATTAGTTATGTTGACGCGATATGTGCACAGAGGAACTCTATAGGGTGGGGTGTTATCACCATCGCTCTGAACCCTCGCAGTTAACGGATTGGTAAAAAGAAAATGGAGAGGGAGCTCTCATGCCTACAACCTATGCGGTGAGCAGTAAATATTTGGGCTATTTCAGTAGGACTTTCAATTAATACCGAATTAATTCTATTATCTAGGAAATAAAAAATTCCAGCAGGGAGAGTCCTCGAACCCAATACACAGTACTTGAGACTTGTCATGGAAACTATATATAGAGGAGTGAGTGAGGAAGGCATTAGCGGCCATACGTATATGTATATGTAAAAGATATTGGGTTGCACTTGTTGCCTCTCCCCCGCTCTCTCGCACTGGATTTTCGTGGCGATTGATAAGCTAATGTTCTTCTACATCGCTTTAGTATGGCGGAAGGCTATGTATGAATCGACAATTGGAACAATTTCGCCGGAAAAGTAAGGTGCAATCTAAATATGTCAAAAAAAAAAAGAAAAAAAATCGCAAAATATCGGTAAAACCACTTCGATACATGCACCAATTAAGAAGACATCCAACACCCAGCAGCATAACGTTAATTGAATCGTTTGACAAGCTTCACCTACACAAAAAGGATCTACAATTATAAAAGCATTCAATACCCCGGCGGGTAAGGAGTTCAAGAATTGGCCCGGGGTAAGACATGCTTGTCGTAAGAAGCGACTAAAATCCTATAGTTCCCGTGGCAGTCGGGTCTTTATACCGGAATGACACGGATTTTTGTCCAGTCAAGGACTGTCCCACTCGCAACATTCTCCAAAAAGTTCTTTGGGGAATTTTTTTGAGGGTACAACAACAACAACAACAACAACAACAACAACAACANAAAAAAAAAAAAAAATAAAAAAATGAAATGAAACTACATGAACTTTTACATTTTATTTCTAGTATTTTTTATTGTATAATTATTTTAGTTTATTATTGAGAATAGGCTGTCGACTCGATTTCACAATAATAATCAATATTTATTAGCTTAGTTAGCTTAGCAACTAAGAGTAGTTTATTAACTATATTACAAAATCTAGTGATTTTTTATGAAATTAGTATATAATTATTTTCGCACTTTATTTGTTTTCTTTTTTTTTTCTTTTATTATAACTTGTTTTATTTGCCTTTTTTGTTTTGCACGAAAATGCATTTAACAGTATAATTAAATATAGCATTTTAATATAATTTAACTATTTAGTAGTGTATGTATACAGTTCGATTTGAACAGAAGAAAATTAGATTTTTTTAAATTTTTTTTTTTAATTATTTCGTAATTTATAAATTTTTATAATAAACAGATTTCGTAACGTGTTTTAGAAGGAAAAATATTTTTTTTTTTTTTTTTTTCAGTTGTTCAGCAAATATGTTAATGTTGAAATTTTGTTGAAAAATAATAATTAAAATAATGACTTTAAAGCAAAAAATGCATTTGGATTATTTTAGATTCTTGACTGTTAATCACTATTAACTGTTTTCACTTTCTTTGCATTGTAACTATTTAAACACTTTCTTTACTTTGTTGTTGTTTTTTTATTCTTGTATCATTGCCACTAACCTAATTTGTTTTTTATACATAACAATATTTAATAAATTTAACACTTTCCGCAAATACTTGACACATGCTTGCTTCTTTGCCAATCGTCAACTACATATGTACTAAATATGCCAATCTTTACATACATATATGCTTATATATACATATATTAAATATATTTATATTTTAAGAATTATTTTTTTTTTTTTTCATTTAAAATCATCTACGACATACATACGTTACCAGCTAACAACACAGTCTGATTTATTTATAAGCTTACACATTTTTCAATAATTTTCAATTTCTATTTTGTTCACTCTTTACTTTAGTACACATTTTTGAGACGAGTTTTCGAAATACATTTCCGCATCTATGTATGTATGTATGAACGAAATGGGAAGTTCTTTTTTTTTTGTTAAATATTATATTTAATTTTGCTCTTTTTTTTCGAGTAAAAATAATTACACTTTTATAATGCAACAACAATACGTACATAAGTTTAATGTGTTGCGTGTGTGTGTGTGTGCTTGAGTGCAATATTTTATTTATTAAAAAAAAAAATTAAGAAAAAAGTATATATACAATAAATTTGAATTATTAGATATTTTTATGTTGAAAAAAAAAGAAAAATCAAATACCAAAAACTTTGCTATAAAATATAAAAATATTTTTTTAGCTGAAACAATATATTGATTTTTTTTTATTATAATTTTTTTTTTAGGCCAACAAATAGATGCACTAAAATATTCCTAGTAATTATATTATATAATATTTGACTCTTCAAATGCTTCTTATTATTATATATATATATATTTTTTTTTTGACAAACATAACAATTACAGCAAAATACTTAATATAAAACCAGAAAAAGGCAAACGAAATGTTCGTACAATAGCATGTGTCGTCTTAAAGCGTATTTACTTACATACATTTTTGTGTATATAACAAAAATTAAGTGAAAAAAATAAAATAAATAAATCATTAACAAATGTGGTGTAGTGTATTTGTGTAAAAATTACTAATATATTTTTTAGCATAAATAAACATAGTTACAAAGATACGAAAAATTTTAACACAAAAAAAAAAAAAAGCTTAAAAATAATAATAAATGATTTTTTTATAAATATCTTTTTTTCGAACATATTTACGATAGCTTCAAATATGATGGCGGTGAGCATTTTTTGCGCAAAAATTTTATAATATACAAAGGAAAGCACGATACTAGTGTAATTATGGAGACCTTCCAAAGGAAATCATACGACCAGATGAACTCCCAATCTGTTAATATGACAAAAAAAAAAAAAACATGTAAATTATTATTTAGTATATGAGCGAATTAAGTGTATAACAAAACTTACCGAAATACTCATGTAGCACAGCCAAGGATATCAAGTAGAGGGCCAAACTGAAGAGTTCAGCTAATACCATGAGACTGAAAGAAAGAATTAATAACTGTTGATTACATTTTCTTCAAATTTGGCAAAAAAAAAAATATTTTATATTAAAAGTATTTTTTTATATTTATTTATTTACTTATTTTTTTATATTTATCACCTCAAATCTGAATTGTTAAAATTTACGCCTCACAAAAAAGGTAATATTTTCTTTTAACTATTATTTTTTTTAATAAATTTAAATCACGACAATATAAAGTGTTTGTTGTTGTTACATTAACCGCAAAAATATTAACCAAATTGAGTTTCGAGGTCTATTGTGGGAATGACAGTGACAGTCCATTACCAGAAAAAAAATCTGAGTCGTTCTGGTATAAAGTCGACACTTAGGACAAGCATGTTGTTGTTGTTGTTTTAACCGCAAAATTATTCCCCAAAGTACTTTTTGGGGAATGTTGCGGGAGTGACAGTCCTTGGCCGGATAAAAATCCGGGTCGTTCCGGTATAAAGACTTGACTGTCGCGGGAACTATTGGATTTTAGTCGCCTCTTACGACAGGCATGCCTTACCGCGGGTAAATTTTTGAGCCCCTAACCCGCAGGGAGTCTTAAGACAAGCATGCCTTACCGCGGTTAAATTCATATACCCCCACCAGCAGTGGAACAAGTTTGTCTCATGTTTGGCTTACCCATACTTTAGAAAGGTAAGCTAAACTGAAACTGTTTCAAATTTAGAACTTTTTTTTTTAAGTTGACAACCAGAAAATATTCTCAAACAAAAATATGAGTCCCATTTACTCTCAATCTATTAAATAACAAATAAACTAAAAAAATAGATAATATTTTTTGTAAAAACATATCTCCAATGGAATTTCCACTCACCGATGCCACGTGCGCACTGTCAACGCGACCATTATCAATTCGGTTACAATGAGCGCCGAGAAACTAATCGCCACAATATGTATGAATTCATCCTCGAATAGTATGAGTGCGCCATACATAATCACACCGCCTTGATATATACTGATTAGCACCCATATGAAGAATGTTTTATAGCTCAAACTGCGTCCCTTCGATAGATCCTTATACAACTCTGGATAGGTGACGGCCGTAGTCGATGTTATATCTTGATCGAGCACCAAAGAGAATACGGGAAACATTGTGTATAACGTTGAATAGCCAACCATGAGAAAACCTTGATATAATGCAACCGAACTGAGATAGAATACGGCGGAAAAGACCGCTTGCAGCGTGGTTATAATTAGACCGCGATGTATGACGAATTGTGAGAGTGCCGCTGAACGTTTGTACGATCGGCGACCGTGCACGAGTAGAAGTTTGGCAATATGCGAGAATTGTGGTATACTGAAATCGCCAGCTAACGACGCTTGCCGGCCCTCACGTCCCTCAATGCCTACACCGGCATCGGCTTGTTGAATCATGCTTACATCATTACCACCATCACCCACCGCGCACGTACGCTTGCCCGTGTGATGCTGTATCAGCTGCACGACTTGCGCTTTCTGTGTGGGACTGCAACGGCAACATACAACCGCCGGACTAGCAGTGGCAAGTTCCAGAAATTCTGGTCTATAATATTGTAAGCAGACCTCGAGCGATTCACCGGAGATAACCAATGCGTGTCCTTGTTTGCGGCGGAAGTTATTCAGTTCAGCATGAGCTTCTGTGCGTGTCGAAACCGAACGCAAAACATGCAGACCCTGATTGCGACCGATCAGCTGCGAAGATTTGGCAATACAACAGGCTGTCTCGAGTTTGTCACCCGTTAACATCCACACACGTACGCCGGCGTTGCGCAACAGTTCGAGTGTGGGGCGTACGCCATCCTGTAGACGATCCTCAACACCTAAGAAGAAAAAGAAAGGAAAATTAGCATAAAGAAGGAACATTACTTTTCTTTTACATTTACTTACCAGTCAAACACAGCAACTCCATCTCACGTTCCAATGACTCAATCACAGCAGCCACTTTAGCCACGCGATCGGTTACACTGAGACGTGCTGCGCTAATACGTGTCTCAAAATCATTATACTGCTCTTCGGTGAGCACTTTCTTAGCGACCACTAAAGTGCGAAGACCTTCACGTGCCATATTGCCCGACTCTTCGCTCAACCAATCGTTGTATTGTACAATGGAGGTCATGACCACATCGGCGCCCTTGAGATAGAAAGTGATCTCGCCAGAGCCTGAATCGCGTACAATAATGCCCATACGTTTGCTTTCGCTGGTAAATGGAAATAGTTGGAGAATCTGAAATTGCAGCATTCCGTCTTGCGATTCTCCCTTGGCTAAAAGAAAAAAAATTAAGTTTAAATTACATTGAATAAGCAAGATACTGTTCGGGTCCGAAACATCCCGTTCAGGAGCAAGTAAGCAGGTTAATGTGAACAGGATCTTCTAAGGACATTCCCACAAAACGTGCTGCCTGCTGGGTCCGAGAAAAATTAATGGAGCCCATCCGTGGTCATTGTCACACGGAGACTCATTGCATGCGTTGGATATGTCATCGTCGATTATAGATAAGTAGGAGTTTAATCTCAAAATCCAATCTTTTGAGTTCCTCATGTTACCATCCATAAGCCAATTCGAGGAGAATGTACAAAGGTGTTAATGAGCTCTCTGTGAAGGGCGTTTATGGCCTGTATATAAGCAAAGTTGATGTTTGTCGCCGAGATCATCTAACTGGTGGTCTACAAAATGAGCTTTTTCCACGGACTCTTACCAGAGGGAAAGAAGTCTCTGGGAATGGTATATATGTGCTGTTCTGTGTTCTTGAATGGGATTTTTAAGTCTGATGAGACTAGGGTGTGGCTCAACTTGCTAGGATGGTCCATGAGGTAACATCTTTTACTCTGAAAGTGGTGTTTGGGAAACACCAGTAGGCGTGCTTGACAGACTTCTAACTTCTTCATCTACTGGCTCTCGGTATCCAGATCGGTATAGCGTAAATAATAACCGAACGGACGATTGCATAGTAAGTTGTGAGCAACGTTTCTATATCTTTCGTTTAGGGGCTGACAGCTGCGGCTCTGTACTTTGGTAGTAATCGCAGTAGTAGGAGTGCCGGAGAGCCCGTATAATCATCTCATACTTCCTGATGGAAGATCTTTGAACCCTGTGGCAATGTCACAACAAATACTGCGGTGTGGTCATTGATCAGTTCAGGTTCATAAGGAGGGAATTTTTAGCTCGTCGAAGTGAACACGGATTTCTAGACCAAACTCTTTTGTCGAAAAAAAAAAGTTATCCCAAAGTATTAAGTGCCTACTGTTTCACAACCGACACCGTATCATCGTAAATTCTACTATTTTGTACATCTTAAGCAAACCAATATCATTACTTACATTTTCTCGTTTTCATCTGCAAGGTCATCGAGTTAATATCGCGTGCAATCAACGTCAAACCAACTTCAGCAGTCCACTTAACCAAAGCGATCTCATCTGGTGAGGAGGCCTGATACTGATGTTCAGTAGAGCTCGATTCGATGTTTATCACAGATTTCGTAGGCGAAGTGGAGCCACCTGACATAAAAAAATGCATTAAAGTACAGAATTATTAAATAATTAATATATTTATTGAATTCTATCACCCACCTGCCGATGAGGTGTACGTCGATGATGTGGACACAGACTTATTATCATCTTCATCAGTGATCGGTGTGACATTGTGACAAAGTGCTAGTGCTTTTACCGCCTCCCATTCACGCCAGCCCTCCGGATGACGCATACGATTACCAGAGTACATTGGTTTGGTTGTAATAACTATAGGTTGTTGTGGTTGATCAGTTGTGCCGCTAGTGCCACCTGCACCGCCACTGCCACCTGGTGCACTTTGTGACAATATTGTGGGCGCTAAATTTTGCATTATCTGACCGATGTGATGAAATGTGTCGTTGTCATGTGATACAATGCCCAAATGTATCTTTTTGAAAACCATTTCATTTTGTGTCAGCGTGCCGGTCTTATCAGTCAACACATACGATATACGACCCAACTCTTCTGGTATTGTTGTTGAACGTACAACAGTGCCTTGTATTTCGGGATCGTTTTGCATTTGCCAGGAATAGAATGCTTTGCCCATATCTAAATTGACACGTAAGCTGATCGGTATGATGTAGGAGAAGAGCAGTACAAAACGAAACATGTAACGATACCAGGGACCGCTGAAGCCCTTGAGCATCATCATGACAAGCGATAGCCCGAGTACGGCACAGAAAAGTACCTGGGAAAAGGAGAAGGAGGAAATGCATTAGTCATTAAAAATATCAATGGAATAATCGAGCAATTCACAAACCTTCGTTAGACCATTAATCTCTACATCAAGCAAACCGACTTTCGAGCGAGGCTGTGAGTTATTCATAACGCTACGTGTTTCACAGCCAGTATAAATCACAATGCCAGTGGCTGTGCCGGCTGCGACCACAGTGTTCGCCCATAATGTATTTTCCACATTTAGACCAGTCTCATCACCACCATCGTGCTACATAAAAGGAATTAAGTTAAATTTTACATGAAAATTTTTTTTAGAATTTTAAAACAAATTTCAAATATACTTACCATTGAAAATGTGCCGATAAAGGAGTGTATATCATTTTGTGGTTTCTCAATATAAACACTGGCATCGATGTTAAACAAATCCGCATCCTTATTCAACTTTTGGGTGAGCGGCACTGCTAAGCGCAATTTCCAATCAGTTTCACCTGAAAAAAAAAATACAGTAAGTTGAATACGTAAATATGCTTACAATACATTTCCGAAATAATTTTTCCTCAATCAAAGAACTCACCATCCAATTGATCGGTGCGCACGAATACAGAACCGCTCTTGTCACTTGTGCGTAGCAACACTAAATCGGCCGGCACACGTTCGTTCTTCTCCACAATTATTATATCGCCCACTTTGAGTTTCGACGACGGCACCATTTCATAGCCTGGTGTCTCATTTACCGTTAGCCTCTTGTATTTCTGTGAATTCACCTCATGATCACGTTGATGTCGGCGCAAATCATCAACTGCTTCACGTCCAATTGTCACCATTAAGACAAAACTGAGTGGTCCCCAATAGGTGTACGGATAACCGATACGTATGTCGGGTATAAATTGTGACAGTGCCATGAGTAGGAAGTAGAGATTTAAAAAGAAACGAAATTGCTCGAATAATACGAGCGGCAGGAACGTGATCACATTGTATTTTTGATTGCGTATCTCGTTCGGTGGGAATTTTTCTGTTGTCGCACGGCCCAAATGGACAGTACGGGCGCGTAGTTCACGTGGTGAAAACCATTTGCGCCAACAGCTGTGGATGAAAAGCAACAAAAGGTGAAATGTTTATTTGTGTGAGGTTTAGGAATTTTCAAGATTCATTTTGTTGTTAGAAAAATATCATTGAAATTCTTATCGCCTTTTGAAAAATGGCTGCTGTATATGTTTGACAATTTTCTTATCACTTGTTTTGGTTCTTTCTTTTAGATTTTGAATAATCATAAGATAAATAAAATAATAAAAAATAAATAATAAAAAATAAATAATAAAAAATAAATAATAAAAAAAGAAAAATAAATAATAAAAAAATAACAAAAAAAAATTAATAATAAAATAAAAATAAAGTAAAGAAAAAAAATATATAAATAACAAAAAGTGTGATGAAAAAATAAAATAACATAAAAATAATTATTAAAAAAAGAATGATAAAAAAAATTAAAAAATAAAATAATGAAAAGATAAAACTTTAAAAAAAGATTAAAAAAAAATTAAAATGAAAACGACCCGGATATTTTATCCGGCAGAGGATTGTCACTCCTGACCGCATCTAAATACCTGATCTAATTTCAAATATAAGAGGGCGTAGATCCTCATCTTCTTCTGATGCCTAAATAGGCATCACATACTTAGAATACAATATTATTTTGAAAACAAAAAAATATTATTTTTTTAATGTTCTTTCAGGTCGTATTCGTACGAAGGTGTGTATATAAGTATCCTTTCGTTTTTTTTTTTTGTTAAACATGGCTATGAACCCAATTTGCAAGGAAGCATTGGAATTTTTTTTTTTAAATCTTGCGAAGGAGACTTAAGGATTCTGTAAGTAGCAAGCATTTTAGATTCTTTTTATAAGGAACTCTCTTTCCCGCCAGCTTCTTTAATACTTATTTTAATCAAAACTTAAAATTAGTTTTGACGTATTCAGTAATGAAATAAAAGGCTTTCCAGGCACTGGAAGAAATATTTGATCCAGACATTTTCAGTTACCGCACACACTGTTCGTATATTAGAAATAAGCTTAATTTTTAATCCCTTAACCGGAAAGTCGAATTTGTTAAAAAAAAGCAATTTTTTGAAACAAAACATGTATTCCAATATATTTATACTTTTTCTATCGACAAAACTTAACTTCATTACTCACACCCATTTCTATTAATAAGCGGTTTTATAGAAACCGACACGGAATTGCTTATTTATCGGAATTGAAAATTAATATCTGTTTAAAATAGTAATGAAACCGACATGATTTTGCTTTTTTCGAAAATAAGCAAAACCGATATTCCAATCATATGTAAAGACATGTGTGCTACAAATTTTAATTTTTTTGTACTGGCTTTAACACATTTGTGAATTTTAATCAAAAATAAAATGACTTCAACCGTCATATCATTTTTGATGCTGGAAAAATTTGCAGAAACCAGCGAGAAAATAAAGCGGAAAATTTTATGGGATAAGAGTAATCCGCTGGAGCTTCCAGAGCTTCCGATACAAATGCAATTTGCATTCTACTCTTACATTTACTAATACAAAATTTGTTTGTATGTAGATTCATAGGTCAGTGTCGTCTTAGAAAAGAAGCCTTAACAACTGTGCTGGATCTCATTGAAGGCAAATTATTCCACCTGTACTACAACTTGCAGCGCCACCATTGTGGTTTTTTTTGGCGAAACTAACTCTCGGTGGGCAATTACTGAAATATCCCCTTAATGGAACAAATAGTCACGAAGGTTATAACACAAGCGCAAGAGGATTTTGAACGGTTGATTTGACCACGCTGAATACAGTAAGGAATGAACGACAATGAAAAGAGAAGAGCTCGTGACCATTTTTACACCAAGTACCGTATTCCAGTAATTACTGGTGGTAGTAAAACCTATTCATGACTAACAATTTTATTAAATTTCAGCTTGAAAAGAGTTAACACATAATTTTGTCAACGAATAACTGCTCTGCTCAGTTCTGACACTTAAACCGATATATCAGTTTCTGTAGCACACAAAAATGATACAAACTCTGTTTAGAAAATGATGCCTAATGTTTAATCCCTTAAGGGGTACACCTAGTGTAATAGCCTAAAAAAAGGTGATTTTTGGAAATTTTTATTAAAAAAAAAAATACTTTATCAATTATTTCAAAGTTTTAGGAATATATTTATACATGTTTCAAGAATATTCACTGAAATTTTTGAAAAAAAAAATTAAAAATTTTTTAAGTTATAGTCGATTTCCAATGGCGCGATAAAAAGGTCCTTTACTGTTGCAGTGATTCCGGCCTTCTCCGTAGATGAAATCTAAAAAATAAAAGAAATTCTCTACGAGATAACATTGTCTGTATAATGACCTACGATAAAAAAAAAACGAAAATTGACAATATGGCGGCGTTTAAAAAAAGAAAATAGTCTAGTTTTACCAAAAATTTTGGTCGTTTTTGGCCTGCCAAAATTCGGTTTTTTTGATCAGATCAAAAATCGATAGGTCATTGTACGGAGAACTACGTGTATATATAGAACATGTAAAAAAATTAGATTTTTGAATCGAATTATTTGTTTTTGAGTAATCACTGCAGCAAATTCGGCAAATGCTGTTTCGAGAAAAACCCGTTTAAAGATAAAATGATCGTTTTCACTCGTAGCTAATGAGACTCTCTAGCTGTCGAGCGGCGGCTCTTCAAATTGTAATAACTCAAAAACTATTTGAGATATCGATTTGAAATTTTAATATGCTATTTTAAAAGGTGTGAAAAAAGAGATTTTTTGAAATTTCACACTAAGTGTGCGCCTTAATAAGTATTTTGTTCAATTCTGATTCTGACAACAAACTGATTTTTTAACACACCCGAATAATAACTTATAATTCTTCTTTTAAAAATCTCTCTCTTACTAATAAAAACAATTACTTCTTCACTTTTCTCCTCAAGCGCTCCAAGTAGATTCCCTTTTAACAAAGTCGGTGAGAAAATTGCATAAAAACTTGTTATAAGATTATAAATTGATTCCTGCTTCGAACAAATTTTTCTTGATATAAAATTACCAAAAGTTTTCTTATTTGTAAAAAACCTTAGCTCTGTTCGGTCACTAGCTGGTGTCCGTTCACTAGCACACTTACCCTAAATAAAAGTGGCTTTAAATTTATTTCAAAATTCACCTTTAGTAATGATTTTCACAAACTTATAACCACTCATATCCATTTAAGAATATAAATTTCATCAACTTCCTGTTTAAAAAAATATTTTAAACCTATAAACACTATAAAGTAAAACACTGTTCTGTAGGCGATTTGTATGGAGAAATGAGGACAAAATTTTATATTTTAACTATTATATTAATTAAAAAATACTACACATGAACTATTTCGTTGAATTTTTCAATTTTAGTATTTATTTAACAATAACTCAAAGTTATACGAATATTTTTATGTATTTTAACTGTATTCAATTCAAAGCAACTTCGAAAACGTTTTGGTACAAACAAATGCTAGCAATTTTTTCACATTTTCATTTACTTCACAACATTCAACTTTCTACAACAGACCATATTTAGACGAAAACGTTGAACAAAAAACTCTAACATTTCACAGATGGAAGCAGGAAACGCGATAAAAATAAAGCAGAAATATTAACTTCTCCACCTACAAATAGAGCACCAAGAAGAACTTCGCACTCAGTTTCAATTCCACCAACTCCTTGCCGCTTGATTCTTCTTTATTTTTAACAACTTCCGACATTTTTGCATTAAATATACTTTCACAAATTCGTCATCGTTCAAGCCACACCAATAACTAACTAACTGACGTTATTAACTGGCCCGAAACTCAAGTCAGCGGTCAGCACAAATCGAAAAAATCAAAAAATATATACACAAGAAATAGTAATAAAAAAAAAGTGTGTAATTTTAAAGTTGTAATAAACTCAAGCGTACGAATGTATAAAAAATATTGATTTTTTTTTGTTTAAACGACACATTTGGGTCCATATAGGCAATTGTTTAATTAGTCAGCTATGGCTTGTTGTAGTACTCGGTCGGATATGGCAAAACACAATAAAAACAAAAGTTAATTATTATGCACAAGTGTTGAATATGAATAGAAAAAAAAAAAAAAAAAAAAAAAAAAAAAAAAAAAAACAGTAATATAAACACAACAACAATGTAAGGTAAACAAAATTCTGAGGCTTTGAATAATTTAAGGTTGTGTAGGTAAGAGAACTTGGCGCACAGCATAAGCATACATATGTATGTATGGGCGTTGGAGTGAAGTGGTTGAAGTTTGAAAAGTACAACAAAACATACAATAAAAGAACGAATGGCATTGAGAAATACATGCAAGGGTAATTAAAATATAATGCACATATTGGTATTAGTGAAAAGTAAAAAAATATATATATGTATATACATATAAATATATAAAATATAATTTGGCGATATATAATATTAGTTATATATAAAAAGTAGGTATATATGCATTTTGTAACAATAACATTAGGAAACCACTTAGACTGTTACCAAAAATTAATAAAAAAAAAAAAAAAAAACAACACAGAAGTGCTGTTTTCGACATTCCGAAGTCTTTATACCTTTTATGAGCATATTAAATTTATTACAAATTAAGAAATTCGATTTCGATAATTTTCCGTGTCAATATTTATTTGAATTTACTTGTGTAGTATGCCAAAATCAAAATCTTTCGATAATTTTCGATGCAATTATTTATTTGACTTTACGAGCGTGGAATACCAAATTTCACGCTCTTAAATATTCTCTTGATGCATTTTTGAACCAAATGTTTATATCATAACAAATTGGTTACAAGGGAGCTAGCTATGTGATAAAGTCGTCCGATTTCGTTAATTTTCAGTACCAAACTTTACTTCATTTTAAGTGTAGAATATCAATTTTTATGTTTATATTGTTTATGTAGCAGCAAAAATATTCCTCAAAGTAGTTTTTGGTGAATGATGCGGGAGTGACAGTCGTTAGCTGACTTAGACCCGACTTCCGCGGGTATTTTTGAATTTTAGCCGCCTCATACGACAGGCATGCCTTACAACTAGAAAATTTTGGAACCTCTACCCCGCAGGTTTAACCTTTTGTTGTTGTTGTTGTTGTAGAGGTTCGCTAACCCCGCTGTGCTGTTTCGACGGCATCGGACCAAAGGAAGAGGGGGGTTAAATGAGTCGGTTTGAGGGGGCATGTGAAGAGATGGTTAGTGTCCTGAGTTTAACCTACTACAATATCCAGACCTAAGTTATGCCAAGGTCACGCGAGTCTCTCGATGCCGCTTGAGCTCGTTGTCTGCAACGGGTGGCGATTTTACTCCGAGCACGCCATTCCCGGGGAGGGAGTCTTTAAATGTGTTGACTGACTCCTGAAGAATGGCGTTCAGTGCTTGTATGAACGCCGTCCTGCCCAGCGGTTGTTGTACATATTGCTGGATTGTGTCCTTTCTGATGTATCTAGGTAGAGGTTCAGCTTCTATTTGGTGCCTTTTGGGGTGCTGCCTACGGTAACATTCCAATTGAGCGTTTTGTTCTGTTAGCACCTTTTTTCATGCTTTAGCATAATCACAATCGCATAATCACAAGTTTCGTGAAAATATCTAAAAAAAACTGAGAAACTATCTTGCGTTGAAGCAAATAGTTGGACTACAACAACAACAACAACAACGGCAATACGGACATGACTAAACCAATTAAGCTCGCCATTCTGCTCATATTGGGTATATGCCTTCTCATTCTGGTAATTACATACAAACATATGTGCATATTTATCATTTCGTGTTTATGAGGGGTATAAAAAATATATCGCGCATTGATATGTAAATGAATATATAATAAATATATATATATATATATATATATATATATATATATATATATAAGTCACTATGTAAACCACAAAAATAAAAATTGTATAAAATTAATAACACAAATGAATAAATTATAGCAATAATACTATATTTAATAGTAAAATAATTACTGTATTGCGAAACAAATAATCATTTATAATATATATACATACATATGTATGTATGATTGGACTCTCTTACACAAACTGTAGCACATAAAAGCACTAACAAAAATAAAAAAGCAGTAAGACAGTAAAAAAAAGACTGCTATTGAGGCGCTTTTGAGGCGTTGAACTATTACAAAGAGAAGTAAGTCACTTTCAGAGGGAACGCACAAGTGATTAGTTTGTGAAGAAATGAAAATCATATTTATACATAATATATAGTATATATTCTTATCGAAAAAGAAATGTGGAAAGACATAACTCATAAAAAGCAAGATATTTTGCTTTTCCGAGGAAACAAACACAAAAATTACATTATTAAAGTTTGTTGTTTGAAAAAGTTCTATAAAATCGAAAAGTTTTATTTTAAGGCGGTTTTACATTTCAATTCATATTTAAAGTGCCTACACACATAGATGTATTACAGACGTACATATATATGACTGAACACAATCAATGAGTAAATTAAATTAATTTTATGACCGCAACAACAAAATCAAGTTGAGCATCAGGCAAATGAGAATGGAAAATAAGACATGAAAATAGAAAGAGTAGGCAATAAATAGCAATTAATAATAAATACGTGTTTTTGCTTTAAGCTATTAAAATATGATGTCACGCCGTAGAAAATTTGTGAGTAAAAGAAACACTGAAAGTGTTTTAAAACTATATTAAATTTTGTTTAAAAATTTTACTTAAATGTATACATACATACACATTTGTATATTGATAAACTGATAAATCGATTTTACTCAGGTAAAGAGGTACAATTATTTTTGAAATATTTATAGCGTTGTTATTGTTTAGTACCTTTTTCTATGATTGCTTTTAAATTAGAACCGGTGTTGCTTACAAAGAGATGATGGCGGATGCGATTTGCATGTTTAAGCTAGTCGTTATAAAGGCGCGCTTGGACTGTTGATTTTAGTGTATAGTTTTATCGTAATTATTCAATTGTGCTCAAGTTTTAACTTCCCCGAAGCAGTACGCGTAGGTAAGTCTCTTATCCCATTCAATTGGTTCGACAAAGACAACCTGGTTGCTTGCTAATTTTGGAACCATTAATGAATAAGTACCTTGTCAACAAAAACTCAACGAAAGAAGCAAAAATATGATTGTTGTTGTTGTAACCGCAAAAATATTACCCAAAGTACTTTTTGGGGAATTTTGCAAGAGTGACAGCCCTTCGCCGGATTAAAATCCAGGCCGTTCCAGTGTAAAGACCCGACTGTCGCGGTAACTATTGGATTTTAGGCGCCTCTTAGGACAGGCATGCCTTACCGCGGGTAAATTCTTTCACCCCTAACCCGCAGGGCTACTACTATTCTTCTGATTGAAGACTGTTGCTATTTTAGCACCGAACAAATTCAGAATTTATAAATTCAAGTAATCCTGGCACAAATTAGATTTGGATACTGTAGCAGGTTAAACTCCTACACATTCACCCTCGGCCCCAACGTACCCAACTCATGTCCTGTATGTATAGAGTATCCGCACAACACTAAACACCTCTTTACATGCCCTCTGCAACCGACGCATCTAACCCCCTCTCCTTTTGGTCCGATCCCGTCGAAACAGCTCGTATCCTGGACCTTCCGTTAGATGACCCCGGTGACTTAGATCAATTAGCAGGTTTATAAAAGGAGCTTTTGAACCGCTACAACAACAACAACAGAATTTGTGGATGACTAAATTTCAGTATTCATCTGTGAATGGAGAGCATCAAATACATCCTACAATTTTCAAATTTCCCGGTAAATATTTTACACATCTTGTGCACTTGGATATCCTCTCTCAGCGTAAAACAAACAAAAAATTAACTAATTAAAAATTGAACTGCATTTACTGACTCACAAACAAGCAACGGCTTTCACCGAAAATGGTAAACTCTTTGCGCACAAACACCGCAAATAAAACAGCTTTCCACTACTATCAACACAAATGTGGGTCCGTAGCGAAAGCTGTAGCTATAATCAAGAGTAGAGCACCACCGTTTAAATGCTCCAACTCAATGAGAAACACCTGAACACACACACTTTTTCATACATATGTATGTACAATATGTCAAAAAAAAAACTTTGTCACCATTTGCGTTTTATATAAGCAAATTTCTTGCTTTGTTAATCAAATCCATATGTGGCATATCCAGTCAAACACCAATGCATATATACATAATTGAAATACATAAAAATTATACGAGTATTATGAAAAACATATTTAATTTTCCATATAATTGATGAATCACCTGAATAAATACCAACGTCGTCTGGGTCTATTAATCAATGGAATGTTCTCTCGAGCCGCCATCGGTGTAGTTGCTGAACTTTGCGAGGCGTCGTCCATTGCGAAATTAGTTAATTTAAACGAATACACTTTTGCAATTGCAGCTTCAAACTGGGGCTGCTATGTTCTTTGTTATCTTCTTCACTGGAGATTTTTCTTCCACTTGGCACAATTAGTGAATGTGAAAAACAACACTCTACGCAGTTACATTGCTTTTGGCACAGCAAAAAAGCTGAATAAACCTTTTTAACCAATACTCATTCAATACACACAATACTCCATTAAAGTTTTTAATAATTTTTAGCTATTTAGAGGCGATATTACAGATATAATTCGATTTTAAAATAATTGAAACTTTTCCCTTGAACTGCTTGCCGTCAGTGTTGAAAAATTTCATTGCACACTATCGCACATATACGAAAGAACACAATGAAAATCGATAAGCCAAATGGCGAAGTAAATGAGTGTGAGCAGAATAGCGGCAATTGTTTTAATAATGGCTCAATTCCAACGTCTGTTATAAGCGTGCGAGTAGGAAGGCAGCTGTGTGTTCAGTGTATTGGCAGTGATCTTGTGGTGGCAGCACTGACTTTTGACTATTTGCTTTTGCGATTTTCTGTTTTCGTCGCTTACGTTTTGTTATTTTTTGTGTTGTTTAGCTTTTGTTTTGATTTTATTTTTCTGTTTATTTTTGTGCGATTTATACTTTCGAAAGCCATTCGTAAGCAATGAGCGCACAAAGCGCTTTTTAAGAGCTTATAATAAGAGAGGAAAATAAGTATGAATAAGAACAGTGGGATCTATAGTTATAAAATCATGGAAATTTGTTGTGTACACATAATCAACATGTGAAAAATATTTAATTATTTTCAGATTGAGTTTTTGTAACTTTAATTTCTTATACTCTAATAGCAACTGAAGCGAGAAAAAGTCGGAACACTAAAAAAATACCTTTGAAATTGTTTTTATACTGCTACTTAGAATTTAATATTTGTTTATATTATGAAACTTGTTATTTCAAGTTTTAGCGTCAAAATTATAAGAGCTTTTACAACAATTATATTTTTTATAGTTTTGCTTCGTTCGCACGTTCAAAAATGATCATTAGCTATAATTAAGTAAATTAAATGGTCGTTTTGAACGTTCATACACTATATATATGCATATATTTACAACATGAAAGCAATAACTTGTTTTTATTTTATAAAACTGATTTAATTACATATAAAAGCTAAAAATATATTGATTATCATTATAGTGAAATTATTTACGACAGCTATTTCGCAATTTATACTTGCCTCCGCAAAAATTATTACTTAGGAAGAAAAACAAAATTTATTTACACGTACATACAAACATACGTATGCACATACATATGTATTTGGAATTTGGCAAGCTTTAGGATTTGTTAAGAAAATTTTAAAAATAAATATTTTTTGGAAATTGGTATAAATCCAAAAATGCAAATGCTCTGTCGGGATAGGTGATATGCAAAGACATCGCAAATAAAATACAATAAATACGAAATTATTCCAAAAATAACTTCTCACAAATTGAAATAAAGAAAATTTTGTAAATCTGAGAAAGATGCAATATGAATTGTAGTAGTTTTTGCATTTGTATTTCAAAATATTTAATATATTTATTTATTAAAAACAAATAGACTGAAGCGCCTGAAAGTAATTTTATGAATACCCATAATATTTCTAAAAGAAAAAAAATATAAAACACTAAAGCTTTTTTGCATTAATTTCACTTTTTTTCTTTTTGTTTACATAAATATTTATTCCATTTTTTATGAAGTACAATATATATATATTATAGAAATTGTTTTCATTAAATAAATAGCAATGCATTACAAAGTTTATCAAATCGAAAGCATGTTATGGTTTGCACTTTCTGGCATGACTCTTTGTTCTATAGAGGAGCACCAAATAAAATAATTGTGTCGCGCTCTTGGATACTTGGCATTTGCCGCTATAATCTCGTGACAATAGTAATTGAAAAAAATTTACTCTCACCATTTGCTCGTTGGTTGAATGGTATTCATGAAGGTTGACATAGGCTTCTTCGCAATCCATAACCCCGCCCCAATAGTTCCTCTAGCAAATGGCGAGGTAATGGAAAATCTAAACTTCGCAGGAAACATTGAACGTTTGACTGCTTCTGTCACGTGATGAATACAATAGCTTACTGACGACNATGGTTCGAACATCTGCGAATAAGAAGACAGTGGCAACTCAGCGGTATCCTAATGGGAATGACCAGCAGCGGTCTAAACTCAACTCAACTAGAGTTGTTAATTGTTTTCGTTGTCCATCTTCCATGTGTCTTTTCACTAAGCAACTCAAATCAAAATGAAGTTATTTTATGCTTGATTTACAGTTCGGGCTGTCACCTTTCCAACGATATATAATATGTATATATTTCTTTCACGAGCGCCACTCCCAAACGATCCAATATATATATCTCACTCTTACCCCTTGTCTACCTCGCGCGGGCTTTTGACCGCCAGAGTATATATGAAATCTCACAATTTCGTTCAAATTGTATCACAGAAATTATGCGATTTATTTGTTTTGATAGAAGAAGTGAGCGGAATTAGCGTCTGCAGACTGACGAATTTGCTCTCATCTCCAAAGTATGGAATGCTTTTATGGAAAATAATCAAAACTGCTACAAACCAGTTGCAAATATTACTGTTGATATTGGGAAAAAATCAGGCAAAGAAGAATAGCTATTAAGTTTGTTTATTATTTGAGATTATAAAACGGTAAACAATCGGTAAACAGTCGAAATTCATAATGACGGCTACAAACTGGTGCTTTCTGTTGGCTTCTGCGCGAAAAACATGGCCCAACAAGTTCAAGCCTACAGACTCTTGTAGTGGACTGAAATCAAAATTCGTTGTTATTTCTGGAAGATAATAAAATTTTCTACATCCCGAATCTCAATTGAAATAATTTTAGCAATAAATTTATTCCATAATGCTCATTGGATTTATAAAGTTAAATTTTTTGCTAGTTTTTTTCACTTCAATTATGTTAAAAAAATATAAATAAATAATTTTTAATCTTAATCTTGGGTTCAAAGCGTACAAAACACTGTACACTTTAAAACAGTTTTTAGATAAAAGAAATCGGGCGGATAGATCAAGCACGGTGATTGCAGTTAGATTGGAAAACATGGTTTCGAGAAAAACGCGTTCAGTTTTTTTGAAAGTTTTCCTTGCGGCCGTGCGTACATGAGATAGGTGTGTTCGAAAAGCTGTCATTTGAAAAATATTCAACGTATTGCAAACCACTCTA